ACTGGACGGCCGTTTCGTTTTATTGTGGGACTCCTCAGAAGCGTACATCCGCGGTGCCGTATCAAAGGGATTCGAATCCAGAGCCTTCGGTCTCGCGCGTGAACCTTTAAGCTATAGATCGCTGCTAAGGCACCTAACAGTGTTAAAGTCTAACTTTAACCAATCCACGTGTCAGGTAGATACAGGTATCTACCTGAGATTATGGTTGAAGTTCAGTGCTCCTAGGTTTTTGATAGTGGTCTAACATTAATCGATTCAGTATTTGTTTGCATATAGAAAGAAAAAATACATATAAATTTACCACTGGAGTTTTGGAATAACTATTCCATTAACTTTACGTACAGTTCTTATATTGATAATGACTAGAATTGAAGAGCCCAATTTTATAAGGAATCAAGATGATAATCATTTAGACTGATCATCTGTAACTAAATAAGTTTGACCAAGATATTCAAGCGCTGTGTAAATTTTGAGGCAGTTTATAGGATAACATGGCCTTCTGTCAATGTTCTCTGCTCTCCATAGTCGAAGTAGTCATCTTAACAACAATTATTTATGGGTTAGATTATAGATGGTATCTATCTAGATAACTGATAAGGCTCCTGTTAAGCATCAGTTAATAATTATCGTGTAATATTGTGCACTGACTAAAGTTGAAAATATGAACTACCGTATAACAACTCAGTGGTCTAAAGGTTAAACACTTTACATGAAGCCTGAATGTCCTGGGTTAAAAATCTCAGTTGAAACTCTGATAATTACTACTGAAGAGTTGTACATTAGAATGAAGCTGTTGTCCAGTCCCTTCTACAACTCAATATTATTTAGCTGAAATCAGGTGAAAATAAAACTCTACAAATTAAACCATCTCCTCTAATATTAACAGATCTTTTAAAAAAATTCAATAGTTGCGCCTCTGGTTTATAGTTATTCATCCCTTATATATTATTATTATTATTACATTATCATACATTCTTAATTATTAAGAGTTATTCAAGGAAACCTCTATTGTCCATCTTTCTTACTGGGTTTTTTTATACCGCATTTTCTTTTGAATATATTTTCAAGTCTGGGAGGTTACATTCGTATATCATTCATAAGCGATTCTCTTGCAAAGTTCTATACTAATTAAATTATAGGAAATAGATCACAAAGCTAACAGATTTTTACCAGAATATTCTGTGTTTATGTATCAGTTCATAGTAATTCAGAATGCAGTTTGATTCTTTCCAGTTAAGTTCATCGGAGATAAAGTATCTTGTAGATTGACTGTTAAAACAAAACTCAACCTCTAACTTCTCAAGGATTATTTTCATAATCTTGTTTTGATAAATATGTTGATGATATTCAATCTTCTGAAAATCTCAATTGATTAAATGAAACATCAAAAATATCAAGAGATATAACCTAGTCAACAAATACAAAGAGTACCCATTCAGAACAATTACTTGGACTACTCAGCATTATACATCTAAAATACGAGTTTGAAAACGTTCTACTTCACAAGCTAACAGACTTTCATATTGACTTCGAAAATAATCACTCTCTATAAGATGAAGACTGTTTTCGATTTCTCAATTATAACAGATAGAAACTTGTATAGAAGTAAGCTTATAAATATGAATTTTATTATTCCGTATAAGTTTCAAAAGTCCATAATATAGTGATTCGAAACTACCCAGTCGTAATATCTAAAATGGAATTTTATCTTTCCAATCCAAACCTTCAGATCGGGGTAGGTCCTATATTACTTTCAAAATTATATAAGTAATAAAATTTCTTGTATTTTCTTGTAATAACTTTATGTCAAATAGAACTTGCTGTGGTCTAGATTAGGTGGTTTCTGACAAAAAGCTTATCAACATAGAAACTGGGTGGCGAAAAATCATTATATGATGCAGATATGTTGAAACCGACTGTGTAGTTTACAAACTGATTAATAAATTTAATGCAGTTTGTCGCAAAATAATCTTGTTAAAAATTTCTGAATACGCCCACCCACTGAAGAAAAAAAGGGAGATTGACGTCGCTTCAAAGTTTTGGTATTTTATACTCACGTATTAATGAAGAAGATATTTTTCACATGGATTGAAACAGATTTATACATCAAGAAGCGTGACAGTAAGTAATCACTTTCGATTATCAGTGGAAAAGTGGATGCTCTCTGGCGTTATTTCATGACCCATGTTAGCATTACTACAACTGTCATAGAATTTGAATAATCTTGTAATAAACCAATGGAATCAACGGAGATAGAAAAAATTTTCAACTTATTAATTGCCTAACAATTACACAACCCAAAATAACACGTAACAGGAAATAAATTCATGAACTGACTTATACTCAAAGTCCATCAAAGTTAGAAAAATTTATATTCAAATAACCTACCTAGTTAAATAAAACACAAATGATCACTGTATCAATAAAGGTAATTTTTGGAAAAAGTAATTTAATCTATGTACAATTATAGTTCATAATAAAAATTTATACGATTATTTTTAAGTAATGAAACATAAGGGTTTTTGTGGATATTATAGTAATTTTAATAGTTGAGATCACGAGTCAATTGAAGCTAGACGGGATCGTGGATGCGCACTGCTGAGGAGTCCCACAATAGGGTGAAACGGCCATCCAGTGCTTCCAGGTTTTCCATAGTGGTTTAGCTTCAATTGACTCACGATCTCAACTATTAATATGAATAAAATATTATCAGTATGGGGTTTTGGAGATTATTGACTTATTGATTGGGATCATAAATCTATCAATGTCAGACCACCATTTAAAACCTGAAGGCACTGGATCGCTGTTTCGTCTTAGTATAGAACTCCTCAACAATACGCGTCCACGAACCCGAAAGTGGGATTCGGACCAAGGATATTCGGTCTCACACGTAATTCCGTGGATTAGTTGAAGTTAGATATTAATAGCGTTATATACTGACTTAGTGGTCTAGGGGTTAAACGTTCGCGTGTGAGACCGAAGTTCCTGGGTTCAAGTTCTACGTGCTGCATCGTGGATGAACACTGTTGATGAATCCCATATCAGAACAAAACGACAGTTCAGTGCTTTCAGGTATTCATTAGCGGTCTTACATTGATCGACTCATGATCTTAATCAATAATAAGATATTCTTATCCATAAAATACTATTATTACTATCGACTGAAATGAACTAACTAACCTTGTTTTGTTAATTAATTAAATACCAGACTAAAATATAAAATAATCTGTAAAGAATTATTTAGATAAAAGTGAACTTTATAATAAATTTTAAAAGAGTTAACAACATAGAAATCATTATGAATTATACAATGGAATGTTATTATTTCATTATCTTTAAGCGATAAATTTTAATAGTATTTTTCATTAGATCTGTATATTCGAACCTACGTGTGGGATATCGGATGCGCGTTGATGGGGTGTCTCATATTAGGATGAAACAACTATCCAGCGCTTCAAAGCTTTCAGTGATAGTCTGACACTGGTAGGTTCATGATTTCTATAAACCTATACTGAAATTCTAAGTTTAATTGATCATAGCCTTTTGCTATCAATCAACAGATTTTCAAATATTATATACTGTTGGGTATATGGTACATTTCTTTTGCTTACATTTGGGTAAAATGAATCCAAGTATATGGAATAATTTTATAATTCGGCTGGGATTTTGTATGATTTTAGATTTCATTATGCTAAATTCATTGTTGTTTTTACTAAGTACTAACCAGTAAACGACGTAGTAGAGATAAAATCTTATTTTAATCATCGATGAAATAACACTAAGGTAAAGTCTTGAATAAACGAAAGAATGTACTGATAAAAGTCTGTAAATAAGTCTGTGAATAGACAGGACAATAAACCAGTAAGGTTCAACTCATCTAACATGAAAACTTGGAGAAACCATAATTTATGAACGTACCGATCATATATGAGATAATAAATCTTGGAATAAGATGGTGGTTAGAGGTGATCAACAGGAAACCACCATCTTATCTCAATATATAGTGCACGCAGTGTCGAGCGACCTAGACTGGTGGCCACATTGCAACTTGATCGATAGCATTCGATCAGCACTAAAAAGGACTTGACAAGCATGACATTGATCACCACCCAGTGATCAATCAATCGTGGTAATAAATCTTGGATTTTGGCGTGAAATTCATTCATCTACTTGGCTAAATAGCGTTTCGACTTTTTAGCTAGTCAATTAGTGATAAAACCCTAAATTTAGTTCTTAACCATCAACTGTAAATTATAATTCTAGTTCTTCAGTGTTTTATAACCCTCAATTAGTCCTAATAAGTAGATGGACATTCTCAAGATCCCATTAGCACAGCTCAGATGTCGTTCATAAATTACAGTCTCACCCAAAACTTCACTAAGTCAGAATGGATATTTAAAGCATTCATCTTAAAATCATGAGACTAGCTAACACACTAAGGAATAATTCTGAAATATGTACTTCTAATCTGTTCATGGTAACATAAATTTAAGCTAGACCATTATGGAAAACCTGGAAGCACTGGATGGTCAAAGGTTTCTGTTTAGTTTGTTTAAATTTTACTCACATGTACTTTTCTATACACATTGATCAACGACTGAATATAATATTTGAATTTACAAAAAATAAACTGTCAACCTCCAATTGTTTTGGTAGTGTTACTACTGTATTCTTGTTTGGAAACACAATATAACACAGTTAATTTATAGTGATTTATCAAACTAACCAATATCAATCAACCATTCATATTCAAACTTTATTCTGGCTCCAATTTGTCTGATACATAGAGACAGACAGGTGCCTGATGAATTTTGTGTTTTCTTTTTTTTTTTTAATTTTTCATTTAAAATTATGTGTTTAGGATAGTTGTAAATACATATTGATATTGTATTGGTTACTTTATTTCACCCAATCATATGTTTGTGTTTTCAATAGACAGGCTGGCGCCTAGTACTTGTTCTCGTCTTTTTTGTTTCAGCGAATAAATAAACTGATGATAAGGCAATTAACATATCAGTAACTAATTTATAATAATCACACCGATATTATTTCAAATTAGGGCATGGTAACTTTTTTTAAAAAGTTGAGTTACGTTTTGATGCATTTGAAATATGCTACAGCATAATTTCAATCATAACGATTTCGTTATCATAGTACTTGTTAAATAAAGAAGAACATTTATCTTGTTCTCCCTCTAAATCAATTCGATTTTAGATATTGACTAAGCACAGTTTTAAGAAAAGGAAATTTACTTATTTTCAATCCTTTTTTTCTTAAACAACTTGTTTACTAATTATTATATTTCTTTTTTTACCGTAAACGGGTGGTGGTAGGTTTAATGGTTATCGGCGCTAGATTAGCAACAGTATACCAACCAAGTGATTGTCCAGACTAAATTGTATGTATAAAAATATACCAATTAACCTGATTGTTTGTTTACGCCAATATATTTATGTATATATACATATATAGTGTATGTGTGTTTATTAGTATATATTTGATTTAGAGGGATAGAATGACATAAATTATTGAAGAAACTCTTTTGTATATACAAGATGGGTGAGTGGGTGGTTAGGTAGTCGGATAGTTAGTGAGTAAGAGGGGGTAGATAAATAATTTTTCGATAATGGCTTTTGATACGCCAATATTCTGACCTAAACTCGTCCCCTATTACAATTTCCAATTTTACTATAATTATTAGCTACTACTATTTAGCTACATTTTATAAAGATCAACCTGAGAGAAAGTTTATAATTTGGATTAAATAATAAATTAAAAGCTACAAGAAAAGCAATTTAAAAAAAACTTTATTCAATAGAGTAAAATAGTTTCCTCCATGGGAAGTTTAAAGGAAATATCATTTCTCAATGTATTTGTTTAGAAAATAACAAACAAACACTTTCCCTTCTATACCAATATATGAATGAATACAATATTTACAGAAGAAAAGATTACAGAAAGACAGAGATAGATATATCCCCCCTTGTAACTGACAAACAAATTATTTAATTTTTTTTCTTTTACAAAATTGTTTTCCCCCGATTTCTTTGTTGTTGTTGTTGTTGTATGAATTGTACGTTTAAAGTACAACTTACTCATTATTGAATAATAAAACAAAGTTTAAGAAGTCAAGTATTGGGTCAGAATTGTGTCCACTACGCCATTTCGGTAAGTAGATTATAAATTTTGAACAAATTTATTATTTATTATTGAATGAGTATTAAATTAGTACTAGTGTAAGATTATGGTTTGTAGAGACTACTTATATTTGAAATTAGTTAATACAATAGATTGGTATTGATTTGAGAACCATTGTAAATGAAGAAATATTGGATAACTACTTAGTTATAATGAAAGACATGGTATTAGTGAACATTGATGGTTTCAAATCAATTCCTTACAATGTTGATAAGATTTACAAATTAGTTGTCAATTTCGTTAATATTTTCTTATATTTATTTTAGCAATTGTTGTGACTCGACAGTACAGTTGATAATTCAGCAGGAAAACTATTAATCTGACAGGATAATAACGAATAATATATTAAAATAATACTAATTACTTGTAATAATGTTATGTAACAATCCAAAAGCATGGATTCTCCATACTGACTTGGTGAATAGTCTACTTTTCGTGCTGTCAGTAATATAAATCCAAATGCTGTCATGGACTATTGATGTGAATCATAAGATATAGACCTCTTTATTATAATCCTTGATTGGTGAACATGTATCATGTAATATGTATCCAAATAACTCTCATACATAAACAGATTCATTTTTATTTCAATAAATTCAAGATTCTAGGAACGTCTTACGCTCTTCATTTCAGATCTCAGTTATCCTTACTGAATTCTTTCTCTGTTTAGCTTTCTACTACGATTAACATTACCTATTTAAATGTTTTGTTATTGATTTTTTTCAACCACCTTGAAGTATACTAATATAAAATATAGTAAGTAAACTAATGTACGTCTGTCCCTAGTTGTGTGATATTATGAACCGACTTACTCTTTATAGTGGTTACACTCTAATCTCAACTGACAGTGAGTCATACAATTTACACAAAATTTTTTATCTGTAAACTATATTATTCATTATAAATGAGACATTTTTTTCCTCTGTTGAATTCTCTGTTACTTATAAATAATCTTGGTTGAAACATGTTAAATCTCTTTGATTTTTTAGTTTTAAGGTGGATACACACTGTTGAGCATTTATATACTGGGATGAAGAAAGTATAAAACAATACATGCTAAATCGTTTTGAATTGTTCATCAGTTAGAAAGGTTATTTTTCACAAAATTCCAAATTAAATATACATTTCATTAGTAAATTAACTTTTGAACATTAGGATGATGAACTGATCAATGTTAGACCATCATTGAAAACATGGAAGCACTAGACAACTATTTCATCCCAGTATGGGACTCCTCAACAATAAGCATCCACGAACCCGTAAGCAGAATTGGAACCCAGGACCTTCGATCACTCAAATAAACACTTAACCTCTAAGCCACTAAGCTAGCAGCTAACAGTTTTAATATCTAACTTCAACCAATACACGATATTATGCGACCATCTTCATCATCATTAAAACAGATTGTGAAAACGAGATTCATCTGAGATCATTGTATTATTTATATTAAAAATAATTTCATATTGGGATAAAATCTATAATCAGTTATTATAATGAAAAAAATCCCTTCTTTATAGATTATTTTTGTTTAAGAAATTATCTTACATTGAACTTATTGCCAAAATAATTAGTACTTTTAAAATACTGGAGATGTACAACTCAAATGGATGCCTTTGATGTTGTTGAATTCTTTGAGCTAGATGAGTTAATTTCAGAACTTTCATTATTTTTATTATGAACAACACCATTACAGTTTACTCCATATGGAAATGATTTTTTTAGTTATTTCACAAACTTTTAATCACTTTGTTGTCGTGGTTCTATTTATACTAAATTGTCATTTTCGGTTTCGTTGTCTTTATCTATTCTTGTATTCAAGTTGATTGTTTTATTTTGTTTAACCTTTGATCATGTTGCTAATTGACCACATTTATACGCATATTAGTCAACGTTATCCATTAACTCTGGTCTTTATTCATATAATTGAACATATTTAATATAAATCATCTTGTCAACTGAGAATACATTGACTAATCTAAATAAAACCACACAGAGAATAAAACATTCAATTTCAATAAATAAAATAAAAAGTCAGGTTATTGATACCGGAAGTCGAAATAAAATAACACAAAAAAGAACGCATTCTAAAATAAGTATCGTTTTCTTCTCTTTTTTCTTTTTTTTATTCTGATAGAATACATTAGGTGTGAAATGTTTTCTATTAGTTTTGTATCAATGATATATTAATTTTGATAGTTGAAATCACGCATCAATTGAAGCTAGACCACCATGGAAAATCTGGAAGCATTGGACGGCCGTCTCATCCTATTGTGGGACTCCTCAGCAGTCTAGCTTCAATTGATTCATCATCTCAACTATCAAAACTACTATAATATCCACAAAAACCCTTCTGATAATGATATATTAGTTGAAGAATCTAATGTTGTTTATTTGTTCATTTTATATAGTTGAAATCATGATTCAATTGAAGCTAGACCACCATGAAAAACCTGGAAGCACTGGATGGCCTTTTCATCCTATTATGGTCTAGCTTCAATTGACTCATGATTTCAATTATACAAAATTACTAAAATCTCTACAAAACCCCCTTCTAATTGGAATAACTGAAATTATTATTATTTCTTGGTTTATTTTAGAATCTGATTATATTGGTTGTTTTCAAATTAGGAATAATACTTATGATTTCTATTATGAATTGAGTTAATGTATTATGAATATATTTGTTTTAACTATGATGTAGGTAAAATGTTCAGTCAGCTACAACGTAGGATCAGGCACAAATATGTGTCAGTTTAAGTTGTCATACCTCATAAGCACACCAAAATGAACACCGAATTCATAGACATAGTTAATTTACTGGTGGTAATATATAAAAGAAAGATTGTATATAAGGATGTAGTACGGGAAGAAAGAATTAGTTGGTTGATTTTATTAGTAAAAGTTGACAGTATTGTAGTGAACGAGAACACAAGTGAGGACAAAATTACAGAATTCCTTAGTCAAATATGAAAACCAGACAGTAAATTCTTAATTTTCAAAATATCAATCATCTCAGACTTCACTTTTCCTTCATTTCCACAGCAATCATTATCTGTTCTCGTTCTCCTTTATTCTATCTTCTTAACATTCCGCTGACAGGTATTTCACCTTCGACTGATGATGCATATTACTTATATCTATCGACATCAGTAGCTCACACCACAGTATCGCTGTTAATTATTATAGACTATCATTTAAAAGTTGGAATAAATGATTAATTTTCAATAAGCATTTTAATCATATTTTCCCATATATAAAGATGTCATCTTGGAAAAGGTAAACAGTAGCCATCATAGAAACACTTTCTTAATTAATATATTTTCCACAACCCTGGTAGAATTTGTATTAATGTTCTATTTAACTTGATGGTTTATTAAATAATCTATGTAGAGTTTATCTAGTTGTTTATTAGTACGTATTCATTATTTCATGTGAAAGAGTATCCAGGAGTTTCAGATCTTATAGTAAGTGAGATAACATTCAGCCACTGAATAAAATTTCAGAGATTCATATATTTAACCTAGATCACTTTACGTTTGATCAGCTTTTGGTAGTGTTAACTCTTAAACGTCTACAATTCGTTTTTTTCCTGTGACTTGTTTTACATTTTCTTAGTTATTCGATGCATAGATTTTAATTTATTCACTAAATATTGTAATTGTAAGCAAAGATGGATAGTGGCTAAAAGTGGAATCCAGGACGCGCGTTTCGTCCTATTTGTGAATTAAGGATGTACCTGCATCTCAGAGTTGATGTTCACTCTTGCACTCAAACCCAGGACCCTTCGCTTCAAACGCCTTCACGTTATCCACTCAGCTACTGAGTCCTGATAGCCACTTGCTTGTGCAATGGGGTGAGGTTTAAATTCATTTAATATTGTTTGCTTGAATCTTCCCATTGATGTTTAGGACTACATTTGGTCACTCTCTAATTGGCATATGTGCATACTGTACGTATTGCCTCGATATAGCCTTAATTCACAAGCATTGTAAGCAAAAATGGATAGTGGCTAGCAGTAGAATCCAGGACGCGCGTTTCGTCCCATTTGTGAATTAAGGCTAAATCGAGACAATATGCACAGTATGCACATATGCCAATGAGAGACTGACAAGTTGCAGTCCTAAACATTAATGGGAAGATTCAAGCAAATAATACTAAGTGAATTTAAAGATTATAATTGTCTTCATAAGAGCTAGTAAACAGAATTATTCGGTTGAAACAAATTTAAAACAGGGATCTATATTACAACATTTGGACAGTTATGAAATAGACAACTTAGATGCTTGAACTAGACATCAAAAATTGATCAGGATAACATTTTAATTGAATTAAAACGTTTAATGTATGTTCGGTATGTCCGTAATGTCTTCTCATCTCAGTAAATCTGTAACAAGTGATCTTTAGTGGTAAATTCATTTGATTATTATTTTTTTATATTCGTGATTATAACAATAGTAATTAAGACTTTCTCTTTAAGACGAATCTAAAGAATATTCTTAACTATAAGTCATGTTACACTGATTATATCATCTTTCAAATAATCTCTTATAGAAAGTTTATTGAAAGTTAATTAATGATTTTGAACAAAACACAACTCCATCTCATTTTAAAAGAAATATAGAGGTTTCTAAAAATGATACTACTCGTTTAATGAACAGTTAGTTCTCTTATTACAGCATTCGAATTACTGATAGTAATATTTTCTAAGCATAAATGTTACTACAAATATGTATATTGTGAGCTTTGAAAGTCAAATCCTTTTCTCACAATAATCTGTTTAACTTTTTTTAAAATATATTTGTAGGTTTAGAATGTCTCCGTTCAGGAAACCTTCATAAAACTAGATTTTGTTCTTGTAAATATTCATAAACAAGTTTTCTTGATACTCCTGAGCTAAATAAAATGCAGATGATTTCCAAAAGGATTAGATTGTGTAAATTAGTCACTCACTGAATAGTAAGTGATTAATA